TTGGGGTTAAAGGTCAGGTGCAGGTTTGGTTGGTGTTGGTGAGTTTCAGCTGTGGTCCATATGTCAGCATAATGTAAACTAATGGACATATTAATGTTGTGTGATGTTGGCAGTGGATGCTCCTGTTCCTCCATGAGCAAACGGAGATAATGGAGCAGATCATCTTCTCTGCTGTTCCTTTGGTTCCAGTTTGATTCTCTGCCCAGACGAGCCCCACAGAGACCAAACAGTCTTCTCTTGTTTCCTGTTTGACATTGTCTTTGAAAGCGTTCCAGATTTTTGAACATCCACAGGCGAACTTTAACGTTTCCCAGCAAATTATTTCGCAGGTTCTTTGTTTGCTTGAAAATATGAGTTGAAGCAATGAAAGAAAAGGTTTCCTGGCTCTTAATCAAACATCACATCAAGGCTGTTGTGTATTGAAGTTACACTAATTACTGCTGAGAGGAAGAAGAAGGTCGTTACCCTGCGCTCGATGCCAGTTTGTGTATGTTTCGCTGAGACACTGGTGTCAGCGTGTGACCGTGATGCTCGCTCATTGTTCCAATGCCACAGTGCCATCTTAAGCCTTTTTTAAGAGCTGAATCGAACTAGACTGTGCGGGACTGTCTTGTTAATCAACTCTGGCATTTGCAAATGGCTGTATGCCTGCAGGAAATAGTGACAGAAGGATTAACAAGCGCTCATTACCACCAGAGCCCATGAGGATGACACGAGGCCAAAGTGAGGCTGTCTCACAGCAACAAGGATCAGCAAGCTTATCATCAGACCTCTCTGAGATTAAGAGCTGGGCAGGGGTGTGTTGGAACTGGGACTGTCATGTTAGCCACACTCACAAGTCTGACGTGAGTAATATTTTATAACTCGGAGGAATATTAAATATAAGATGTTTTATCTTTTACTGTGGTTCATATTTAAAGTGCTGTTTGTCTGTGAGTATAAAAGGAATCCAGGAAATCTGGAGTGAGGCCCACATCCAGCCTCTGTGTTTTTACTGCTGAGGTTCGATGACAGCCGTGATGTCAGCTGACAGGCGAATGTGGGCAGACATGAGTGGAGGATTTAGTACTTTAATAAAGATCTGCATCGTCATTTAAGTTTCAAACTTTAATTGTAGTTCTTAAATCAGTCTGATACTTTAAATATGCATGCTTGTTATAAATGTAAGTAGGTAAGCTGTTAATCAGCCAATCACAGCAGCCCCCAACCGTCTGTGTGCCACGGACGGTTTAATGTCAGCTGTCGCAGATAAATATGACAAAATAAAACTGCAGAGACAGAAACTGGTATTTTGTAAATATAATAATAAAGGTGAATTCACTGTGTAACGTTGTTAGCAGCGTCCTCCTGAAATGCACCAACAACATTGAGAGGAACATCCTCCTCTCTGCCCCTTAATGCTCTCTGGTTGCTATGGTAACTCTTAAATATTTCTTTCAAAATAAGACGCACGACTACAACACGGGAAAAGACCCAGGAAACCGAGTTAACGATAAAAACCCTGAAAACGATAAATTTCACAGCTGAAAGTGTGAAAAGTCTCAACTCTGGCAGCGCGGTAACGACTGCTGACTCCAGGTCGTTCACCAGCTGGCTCTGGGACAACTCTTGATAACTTTTTTCTCCACTGTCTGGAATCTTGTGGGGAACAGCTGTGTAGAGTGAAATGATGTTTCCACTTTCAGATTATGGCCCAGTAGTGCTCACTGGAAGCTTCAGTAGTTCTTCTGTAACCAGTCCCATCAGGATGTTGTGCAACAACAAGGCTGCTAAGGTGGTGAGAGATCTAACTGGTACCAGTAAGTCGTTTGGTACTGAAACATGGTACGTTTGGCCCGGGGGCTCGGGGACCGCTGGCCAACATCATTAAGCCTTCCCCTGATAAATGTGCATACAATTCAATTCAGATTAATTTACACAGCACAAAATCACAACTACAATCACCTCAAGGTGCTTTATATTGTAAGACTGTCCAATAATACAGAGAAACCCAACAATCAGATGAACTCCTGAGAGCAAGCATGTGGACACAGTAGGAATCATTAGAGTCAGTTTTTATTATTCATAAAGCCTGGTGGCATCAATCAATCAATGAAACTACAGGCATGTATTAAAGACATAAATTCTCCAATTTCCTTCTAAACTCAGACAAAAAAAGTTTTTATATTTACGACTAAAAATCTCAGAAAGATGGTGTCTGACCGGATTCATTACCT